GATTTTTTAGATATATGCAATTTTTCATGAAATTGGATAAAATATGCAAAAAATGCATAGATATGCACTTTGCATATTTTCCGCCCTCTAATAATAATTAAATAATTGCTCAACTCCTAAATAGATTTTCACTTTCAAATTGGACACCAAGATCGTCCGATTTGACGCAGCTAGATTTTTTTTTCTGTGGGGCTCTCTTAAATCAAGTGTATGATTTGCCCGTCGCCACAGAAAACAAGTTAGGGAAAATACATTTCCAAGCTGCACTATTTTAAAAACAAGCGCGCCACAATGTCCAAAGTACAGCTAAATTTTTTGAAAAGAAATAATTTATGTGTTCAGAAACACTGTCAACATTTTGAACATTTGTGAAAATAATTAAATTAGTTCAATTATTCAACATTAATACTTTGCATGTTTTTTTTTTCGTTCTAAATAATAAAAAATCTGAATTGCAAGATGTGAATAATTATTTGTACAGAAACTGTAGGACTGACGAAGAGGCAGAACACTTTCACGCATTAAAAAAGATCACGCTTAAGCCAAAACACGTCAATTTATGTAGTAATTGCTGATTCCAAAATTAGTGAAAATCGATATGGGAATTTAGAAGTTATTTGGAAAAAACAATCTCAATTTGGGAACTTTGACGCCCTGTAGCAGGAGAATGAAGCTACATTGAATATTATTAGTTTGCTTAGATTGTCTTTTCAGGGACACCCTGTACATTACCTACTTTTCACGCTTTTACCACTTCTACGTTACTGTTGATACCTTACCTAACTTGCTTCGTGTAACGGAATTTTGATCCTGCTCAGGCAAAGTCGAAGTCGAACAACAGGGCAATGAGGAACAACATGGTGTCAAGCAGCCAGAGTCGCTCGAAGAACCGGGACAATCTTCGGGGGAAGGAATGATAACTTCGTCGGTACTCTGTAAACCAAAACAGCAATTTTCTTGTTGGATTTGTGCTTAACTGTTACTAGTTACAGATGACTTCAATCGAAAGAATCAAGATTGTACTTTACAATTGAGAATTGCAAGTCCTATTTCAAGCTAATCAAAATAAAATTCTAAACTACAATAGAATAGATGTTTACCTTGTTTTGGATATGACGAAGTTCAGGCACAGAACGTAAGAGATCATTTAGAATATGGACTATTGTGGCTATGTCTCTTCGGGGGCGTCCGCGGGAGTCTTGTAATGTTGGACTGAGAGCTCCGCTAAAAGTGCCGGAGTAAACACTTTCTCTTCGACCAGTCACTGTAAAAAAAAAACAAATTAATTAACAACAAAACTAAATACTGATTGTTAACAACACTTAAATGGAGAAACACATAAATAGTCCATTATGGTTTAGTTTTATCAGCACATTATTTCATTAGTCGATGAGTAAATCAAAGCGTGACTCAAACGACTCATTTTCAGTTTGATGTAAACAGTATTTGTTCACGCATTAATAGTAGTAGTATTTACATTTTATTATCATGTGACATAATAAAAAAAAATTCTCAAAGTAAAATTGGCTTGGTCTTACCTCTGCTCCTACCCCTTTCTCTTCCTGAGAAAATATCTGCCGACAATTTTCGTAAAGTGTGTTGAAGGTTTTTACTAGCCTGCAACAAGCTAGGAGGACCAGGACTTTGAAGTAGGGGGGCACAGTTTGGAGGTCTGCAAAATATTAACACATTTATTCAAAACTTTTAGGAAGCTGCAGATGGAGAAAAAAATATTTTAATTGTATTAGTTATAGACAAAAAAAATATTTAAATAAGTTTTAGTTTCGTATTAAATATGATTCTCACTTGCTAGCTGAAGCCACAGTGCTGAGTTGCAGCTGAATTAGCATCATATGGTCGCCTAAACGCATGCTAAGGTTTAGAGGTGCTTTCCCACAAAGGAATTCATTCACTTGTGTATCATTCAGGGATTCCAGTGCCTGCATAATTCCCACCTCTGGACGTTGAGTCTGAAAAAAACGATGTGTGTAGGTGCTTGATTTAAAAAAATTGTCACATGACTAACTTGAAATTAAAAATTAATTGAAAAGTAGTAGCAGTTATGTTTGTGTGTGTTTAGTAATAAAAATATTATATTTTCAATTTCAGAATTAAACCCATACAAATCGTTCAAATGGAGAAAGGTTAATAAAATCCACCAAAGTACAATTCTTTGCATATTTCAATTTCGGAAAATTGACGATTTGGCACACAACAATGCATTAAAATAATACAGCAAAATTCAAAAAATATTTTTATTTATTATTTAGCCAATATTTAGTTTTCGGAAAAACTAACGCTGACCCCTTAAAACAAAGCCAGTTTAATTTACAAAATAGCTGCCTTGAAGAATTTAGTATATCACATATAGCAGTAGGTACTACAAAGAGTAAAATACAGATATTGTCAAGAGATCATCGCATAACAAAACGTATCATTAGTCACAAAGTTTTAAAAAATACAAAACATTGTACCAAAAAAACAAGAGTTTGTTTTCCAAATTAATTGAAGAAATTTAGAAGAGTGAAGTACATTATATTAGCATTAATGATTTCAATAAAGAAACAAAAGGAATTAATTCGATTAATGTGTAGGCTGGCAGTGTGCTCAGTAAAATGCTACACCTATGATGTCATATTTGCCTTCATTTCCTTTACTCTTTATAAGCTCAAGTGTAATTGGGTCTAATATATGTTGTATATGGTATATTAAAAAACTACTTCCTATTATACAATATTTTGGGAGTCACATTACTGAAAACTCACTATTTCAGGAATTCACTACATTTCGCATCAAAAGTTTATACTGTTTGTTAGACCAGTGTAAGTTTTCGTGCGAAATATATCTGAAGATGTAACCCACTCGTGTTTGCGAAACATTACGAATAAATGCTTGTACACAACGGCCGAAAAGTCCTAATAGTTTCATTTTGCTTTTTTTGGGTTTACTTTTCTTAATTATTGGCTTTTTTCATGCGCAGTGATATTTTGATTTATTTTGCTTTCAATTTTTTTTCTCACAGCAAGCTTTGGAGATAATTATGCAACTAATATGAATTTACAGGTTTTATAAACTTTACTTTCCACATTTATTGGTTGATAATAATAATAATCGCATAATAAATGCAATAATCGCAAATAATAAATACTTGTTTACGTTATCTAGTGACGGGTGGTAAAACACAGACACGAAGTTGAAATGAATGGCAAAATATTTGAAAAAACTGTGGCAAACTGTAATGATAATGAAGAGCACGAAAACTACGAAGAAGCTTGAGAATAAGCTGAGATTGATAAGAAATATTATTGATTGAAAATACGATTAGATTTTTTTTACACTTTAGCATTTTTTATCGACTTACATTGTCATAACTAGAAATTTTGATTTGTTTCATGCTAATGTTATAATATACACTTGTTTAATTACAACTAAACTGCTCAACAAAATCATCGTTACACTGACAAATTTGGATAAATTCTGATTGCTGCAAGCGATTTGATTTCTGTTTGAAGCGTTATTGAGTGCATCTTTTTTCGGTTACTGTGTATTTTTGCAAAAACCGGTTTAGATAAATTTTCTATATAGTGGCAAATGAAACATTGCAAATTGGTGATAGTTGCTTGCCACAACCTCTGAATTGGACAAAAAAACGTTTTTCTTATTTCAACACCACAGGCATTAATATTTTACAGAATTATCTTAGAAAAATCAACTTTTTTGTCTTGTAATAATGTGTTTTTTCTTGAACCGAATTTCAAAATTTAGGGTCAACTTGAAACTCAGCAGTCAACTTGAAAAACAAATTCAGTATTCCGAGTTGCATGAATGAACGAAATATTTGGAAGTAAACATACATTGAGAGCATGTGGACGTGCTCTCAGTTGGACCGAAAAACGGTTTTATTTCCACACAACAGGTATTAAGATAAACCTCATATCTAAAAAAGCCTAAAAATTCACTTTTTGGTAATGAAGTGATAATTTTTGCTTTGAACCGATTAGCAGTAAATAAGGCTCATGCTGCAGCTAAAATTTTATTTGTTAAAACTGATTTCGGTAATTTTTCATGCAAGCCTGTATATAGAATTTTCGTCTCTTTTTATATATGAAGTTTTAGCTTCAACATGAGCTCAAGGTCGTGAAAATAAGACCAAGTACAGCAAAGTTATAGCTGCAAGATCAAAAAGTTGAATTTTCTACGTTGAATCAGAAGAAATAACAGAAAAATTCAAATACCGGTTCGAGCTATTTGGTGTACCTTTACTCTTTTGGTGTTGAAACTAGGAGGTTGCCGTACTTTACATGCAAAATTTTCCATTTTTTCATTTGCCGCCCTGTAGAAAATGTATCTGAAATGCGCAACTTTTCCCAAAACATTGACTAACAGAAAACACATGGCGCTCAATAAAGCTTCAAACAGAAGCCAAATCGCTCTAAGCAAATTTATTCTGATCCTGTTCCAAAGTTAGGGCAAATTTGTCTGTGTTTATTTTGATGAGCAGTTTATAAGTTCATATATGTTTTTCGATTTTAACTGGACATTTTATCCACTAGCGACAAACAGACTGCATTCTGTCCAACAATTATTTTATTTTATTCTGGATACTTTCCCACTTCCTTGCACCAAAAACTCGTGATAGAGGTCCATACACCTAACATCATATTACCCCAAACATTTTTTTCTCTTATGATTACCTAGTTTGTCGGTAATGGTTTTTTGCTTCCCTTGAAAAGAGGTAAAAAGGGACAAATTGCATTTTGCAAGTCTGCTTCTCAATTGCTAGTTAAAACCATGTGTACGAATACCTGGAATAAATAGCCATTTAGATACCAGACTATTATATGCACTATCAATTTTGCACATTCTCTTGCTTGATAAACTAATAATCAAATATTCATTACACTCCCATTTAATGTATACATTAAATATGGAATTTTAATCGTACTTTGAACCTGTGTAAAGCTATCGATTACCCATTAGCAACTGTGCGTTTAGTATTTCAAATACGCAGGTATTTAACTACTAAATTTGGCAGGTCTTTGAAGAGTCCGTAGAGATTTCCTCCTCTATCCCGATACGGGAAATATTTAAATAAAATAGTAGGAACTTTAGATTTATGTAATAATGCTGATTAATTCTAGTTGTAAACCGCACGTGAGCTTACTTGGAATCTGCAAGTATTTATCGATCAAATGGATTTCGGGCATACTTCAACAAAAAAGGATATTTATGGCAAATCGGTAATGGTTGGCTGTATCCACCTACCTATTATAAATGATTTTAATCAAGGCTATGACGAATAAAAGCAATGAAGATACAATAAACAATGACAGGTTTAAAGATAAACAAATGAACAAACACTTACAATAAGGCCAGTTTCCACGTTAGGTAGTAGGGTAATTCTAGATCCATCTGTAATGCCGTGCTGATATAAATGACCATCTTGTAGTTGCCTAAAAATAAATGGCAGAAGTAGGTGCAAAAGTAACTGTAATTGGAATATGCAACTCACTTATCTCTAAATAGAAGACATATCCGATCTCTCGGCACTTTCAGTCTTTTCGATACGAGTTTTTTGAGGTTTTCCACTGTGCTTTCGGATTCTACGCTAATGTAAAAGTCTCCCCCCGTGGTCGGGCTCACTTGCACATTTATGTGAGTATCTGGACCACACCCCTGCGAAATGGGGTTACTGGTCAAATTCTCCATTGTCTAAAGTTCACGTTGCACTATCCCGAACACGAATTTCACCAAAAAGCTAGTGTTTTACGCCAATTTATACCCAAACATACATGTCGAAACCGCACCAGTCTTCGCACTTTCAAGCTTCCATAAGCGACCAGCATAAATTTTACAATTGGTTGAAGGTTTGCTTTAGCATAGACGATTTCTGAAAAAAAGGGGCTTGAGAGGGGGAGGACTCTGTCAAAATTCCAGGTATACGATTGACGCCTGTGCCATCTCTTATCTTCGTAGAAAACTACGTGTTGACTACGAGAACTGCACAGCACATTCAACGAGATATCCAGGATATTTAACAAAGAAAATATATAAAAGTGAATTATTAACTGAAAATATACGGATTTAATTTAAAAAATAGGAGCTATACAAAGTGTCCCGTAAGCACATGATCATAAGAGTACTGTGATATTATTTGGATCAAAAGAAGATGATCTGACCTAACTTTTATTAACAAAAAACGTCTGGTCCCTCTGCTATTGATGGTCAAAGTTCTTCAAAAAATGTATCTTTTTTGAAATATCGGGAAAATGGTACGATGTATTTTGGTGAAACTCGCTGCGAATTTGTTCTTATGTAAGACTCACATTTTGATGAAACCGAGGTCAGCAGTTTTGGACAAGTGGTGAATTCTTGAGTGTCGTGGTACAAAAACTACCAGAACTTTTTATTTGGTGTTTGGAATCAACTCATTTTTTTTCGACTGATGCACTAATCATTTATTCACAATTTTGTGCTCTTTGTAAAATCTTGTATCGTTCATAGTTTTGGCGCAAAAAATATATTTCTGGTTCCTTGTCACGTAACAATGTCAGAAATTTTTAAACGAACGAAAACACTTCCAAAATATAATCGGAGGGCCTAAGATTTTCACATTGTCGGTCAACTAAAAATTATAAAATGCATGCAATTTAATTTATAATAAAAGAACATTTTATCGCTTAATGCGACATTTGCAGGTGATGGCTGAAATTGTTAAGTGCCAAGGAAACTATAAACGATGCAAGATATTTTATAAAAGAGCCCAACAACGTTCAAAAACGATTAGTGCATCAACTGAAAATGATAAAATCAGTTAATTCCGATTAAGCCTGGGTAACTCAGTGAGTTTTTAGGAGTTGGCGCAGTGCTACGCAAATGGCTTGGTACGCTAACACAACGCACCGGCGCAGTCACTCAGTTCCGTTGCTGGGAAAATGTGGATGATTTTTTTAACGGCTATTTATTAATAACATATTTTTAAATTTCTTCTAAATATCAGAATTTTCCAGTTTAAGCCTAGTTATTATTTCTTCTAAATGCTCAATTTTCTAAAGTTTTACTTCCAAATCAAAATTAATTTCTGGGTTTCAGTCATTTATTGTCTCTATTTATCAGCTAAAATACGTTTCGGTGTATTTTTCCACCATCATCAGTTTTTATGTGTAGCGTTGTTGCTGCTTTAAGCCTTGGCATACACATTTAATTAATTTTGATTTGGAATTGAAACAAAGTCAGGAAAGTATAAGTATACAATAAAGTTTTACTTAAATATGCTGACAATCTCAAGGCATTTTTCGGCCAAAAATTTCTGAAATAAATGTTGGATCGTTCGTTGCTTTGTAAAAAGTTTTGAAATCCCTTTCCAGCTTCCAACTGAAAACTGTAGAGTTTGTTAAAAAACGTAGTTTTTAGTTTTGACTGAATATTTTTTTGCTTCACTTTCTACTAAAAAACGCTCCATTTTGCAGAGTTTTACTTAACAATTCTGACAATCTGGAGGCCTTTTACGCGAAAAATTCCAAAATTCATAGCTCTGTAAACATTTTACAAACATTTTTTTCAGCGCCAAATTCGGGACAAAAACGAAAATAAATTCCTACCGTTTTCCTCGAAAACCATTAAGGTTTTCTCCAAAACCGATTACAAAACTAAAAGTTTTTAAACGAAAACGCAAAATATATTATTTTCTGATGATTTTCTTCTTTTATGACAATAATGGGGTGTTTTCAGCCAAAAATGACAAAATTAATTTTGCTAAAAAATTCGCCTAATTCATCGGTTTGTAGGGAACTTTAGAAAACTCATTTCAGCTTCGGATTTGGCACAAAAACCAAATAATTTTATTCAGTATTCAGGAAAAACGACCAAAGAGAAAGAGTTTACAAAAAAACATTTGAAAAATTCACCGCCCTCATCGCTCTGAAGATTTTTAAACTTCCTTTAAATTTTCAGGTCATCCCAGTTTTTAAAAAGTTCTATTAAGCAATTCTTTCGACGCAAAAATCGCATTATTTTTAATTAAAATATTGACAATCTTCAGATATTTTCTGTGAATAATTATAAAATACATTTTATTGGAACACCGCCTCCTTAACCGCTTCGCAAAAAATTTTGGAAAAGTTTTTGCAGCTTTGATTATGGACAAAACCGTAATAATTGTTTCTGAGTCTTTTTCAAAAATATTTCCCCGAACTGAAAAAGCCAAAGTTTATAATCGTTTATTTGGAAAATTCTTGAAAACTGGGGTTTCTTCGCTTTTAGGTCAATATTTCCAAACAACACTGTCTCTAAACCCAAAGTCCTAAAGTTTTACTGTAAAATACTGGCAAACTGAATCTTTTATGCGAACAAATTAGGAGATCGATTTAACAAGAAAACTTGTTGACTTTCTTTACACTCAGTTCTGTTGCTGGGAAAATCTAGATGACTTTTTTTTAGTTGTTTGAACAAAGTAGTAAAACGTCGGTCAGAAAAAATGTTGATGACCTTTTTGTTAGATGTGAAAATTCCAGTCTGGGGTCTCGTAAAGCTTTAATAAATTACTTATAACTCATTAACCGATAAGTTATAACTCGTTAACTGAAAGAGCGGCAACAACTCACCACACAGATGTAAATGTAAGAACAGAAAGACCGATTTGGTCGAGCGATTTTTAAAAGAAATATTATTATGTATTTTGATTAAATCCACAGCAAATAACATATATCCCCGTCAACACACAAGACCAAACGGCTTTAATCAACTAGAAAAAGTAAATCACTCATCAAAAATCAAACGCAAATATCTTTCCGACTTTGATACACTTTATTATCTATTTATCAATTTAATTAGATACAATTTAAAACAAACACGTTTAACAGCCATATTGTAAATACAACAAATCTACAGTTTTCGTAATGCTACTCGTCGTAACTAAAACAGATTTCATCCCAAGTTGAAAAACTTTAGTCAAAATGATTTTTGCATATTCTTGCATTACTGGAACAATGTCGGAGATCCTTTCCAGCAAACTGCTAACAACGTCACCATTTTCGGAATCCAGACAGGAAAGAATGGCTGGCAATGCTTCCGATGCTGCCTTCGGGTTGTACTTCAACCAACGAACCATCAGCAAAATAACCACCGATCTGATACTGTTATTAGGCGACTCCAGCAATCCATACAAGTTCTGCGACACGCTGTCCAATAGCTGAGGCCTTTTGTTACTGATCTGATCTATTTCCTGTAGAGCGTTCAAACAGTCTTGGGTTTGTAAAGCGTTTTTCAATTGCTCCCAACGGTCCGGATATGGTTCTGCAACTGGTGGATTTACCGATCCTACAAGAACATCAGAAGTGGATTCTTGATAGGAAGCTGGCAATGAAACGCTTGATAGTAAGGGTCGAATTCCCGGTTGACTATACTGGATGTCGCTGTAATTAAAGTAGTTCTAAAAAAACAGTTTTTATAAGATTAATGGTAACGTACTTTAACATTCCACCATGCTCTTGTAAAAATTTCGAGCCGCCTTTAACATCATGCACCATCCAATTTTGAATAAACGTCACAATCCTTTTGACCAAGCTGTTCAGTTCCGATCGATGATAGTGGAAATTCAGCAGCTGGAAAAACGAGAGCAATAGCTCATAAAGCGTTCCGGATTGGTCAGTTTGATGAAAAATATACGGTTGTAGCAGCTCCATTAACCCGAGTATTTGCCCGAAGAGCAAAAAGTGACCTCTACTTTTCAGCACAGCCCATTCGTACTGCGCTCTACCCTTTAAACTTCCAGATAACATCGGCAAATGGCGCAGCACCAACAAAGGATGCGTGGCAGCAAGTTTACGGGAACACAGTTCCAGATCTTGGCTTTTCTTTGGCCAGTCTTTGGATCTGGGCGTTGCAGACAATGCGCTGAGAAGACAGTGCGCTATCCTATCTATAGCACTAGAACAGTTCATTTTCAAAATATCCAACGTTGTGTCTGCTTTGAGTTCCAATTCTTCCTGCCCGGCAAACGGCAGAGACATGTAGGTCATTAGCAAAAGCTCCCTGCTGTAAATTTCTGTATCTGAACTCTGGAATAGCATTTTGATAATTACAGGGGCATGTTCTCCGATACATTTGAGGAGGAGTGGAAGTCTTGACTCCATCTTTTGCTTCCAGTTTGATTCGCATTGATCGGACTCTTCAAGAATGTATTTAACAATACATTTTACCTGCAATCAATCATATTTTTGTAAAATTCGCTGCAGAGTTTCTTAAGCTATTTAAATGAATGAATGGGCTTAAACCGATAACATTTATAAATGGGCACAAAAAATAATGCCAGAAAGCTACAATTAAGCAATGCAAGTTGAAATAAATTTTCCTCCTCTAGTTTGACTAAAAATTGATCTCCTTTGCAAACTTGCAGTAAATATATTTCTTTTTCGATTTACTTACTTGTGTCTCGTTTAGTTTCAACATGTCTTCAAAATGCGCGTGTTTGGGTACAGCCTTATCACGGCCTTGCCACAATTTTGGGCTTTTTATTAACGCTGTTAAATAGTCTAGCACTGAGACTGGGCACACTTTTTCTGAATCTTCACAAAGCAAATATGTAACTAGCTTGAATAGACTTTGCCAGCTGGCTCTTTGGAGTAGCAACGAAATCAACAAGGGCCGGAATTGCAGAAATTTTTTGGAGAACAGAAGTCCCACCTAAAGGATTATTTATATGATATTAATTCCCGTTTATTATCTTCACTATCTAGCACTAAAACTGACCTGCAGCTTGTCTTTGTCCGAATTGGCAATTTCCAATTCCAAAGATGACAACCAATCTACCAGTAACCCAGTCTTCTCAGACTCGCTTTCATCCTCCATCAGCATTTTTCCCAATTTCTCCGTTAAATTTTCCGATGCGCTTAGCACCTGTTCTGATTTCACCCTGGTTATCAAGTCCTCGCACTTTACCATCTGCATTAACTCAAGGGGCACAATAGAATCGGATGCCTCTTTCACCGAATACATCTGTAGGTATCGCCTTAGAAAGTTTGCGGTGCAATTGCTCTTGGGGATCATTGGCAGTAACTGAATGGCAAACATTTGCTTCTCTTCGCTCAGAGAATCACTTGTAAATACCAGTCGCAGTAACATTGAGAACGATTTGTATTGGATCAAGGGATTCAAAATTAAATTTGTTGGTACTGATTTGAAGAAGTTAAAGAAGGTTTCCTTGTGAGTCTTATCAAGACTAAGGTTCTGCAAAGGAAATACATACATTGAATTACAATCAAATCAGTTAATATTACTGATAGGATCATTCTAACTAATAAGCATTTTGCAAATGTAAGAATACAAAATGTGTCAATATGAGCCTATAAGGGCAAATGGTGCTTGCGCTTTGAGAAAATTATAATAAAAAGGAAAATAGGTAAAACGCCACATAATTTAATTATTAAGTTCGATGGTGGACTGAACAGGATAACAGGATTTTTTGATTTCGTAATTTTCAAAATTTTATTGTGTAGTGTTGAGAAGATGTACTGAAACTGCTCGAATAAATTTGCGATTGCCTAAGCTCTTTCAAAACGCCCGTTTTTTACCCAATTCAAGCATAAAAACAAGTAGTCCTCACATTACGTTGTTCTGTTATTGTATTAAAAGACTCAACATTAACAAGCAAGAAATATATTTTATATGGTTATTATTTTGAGGAAAAAGTTGCAATTTGAAACCTCATTAAAACATTTCCAGTAATTAATATTAATGATTGGATCAGTGATTCTTGATTAACTCGTTTTTAGAGCCGAAATCAGCTTCGTTCTTAACGACAAACCAAAAAGCGCTTAAGCGTCCTCTACTAAAAATGTAAGTTGAGCGTATTGAGCAAAGTATAATTCTTTTGAGAACTACAATATATGGAATAATATTCAAATGAAGTAACATGGCAGAAATCAAAACGATGCACTAGAAACAACAATTTTAGATAAAACAAAACAACACTGTGGTTTCCGGAGATGAAGTGAACTTTACATCAATTACCTGTAATAAAAACTAAATTGGCAAACATAAAAAAAATATTTTATAGATATCCATAATATACAAATACTATTTTTCAACTAAACTTTTTTAAATACTCACTTACCCTTACTAGATTAGGAATAATCTTGTTCTTATCACCCATAAAATGTGGATTAAATAGAATATTCAAGTTTTCCACTATAACTTTATCGGTGAAAACCGATTTCTCAGATTGTCCACCATAGGACAGAACTTTTCTGTTATCAACATCGATTTCTGCATCCCCTTTTTGAACAGGAGGAAATTGCATTTCTATAGCTTTAACAAATATTTCACCGCCGATAGCGCCACGTTTATTTTGAACTTCCACCAATTGAATCATGTACGTTTTGTCCAAAACTGAATCCATTACCAGTTTCTGGTCTAAAATTGTGGCTTTATCCAGAGTGTTCAATAATTTCGTAATGGAGCTAGTTGGAATTCCAAAAGATTGAATAAATAAAACCAGCTTTGGTGGTTCCAATTTTTCAATGGCTGCATCAACCAGTCGAGATACATTCGAACGAATCATTCTCAGCTTCATCCAGTCAGGCAAATACGACGTGGTTTCCGATGTGTCAGGTGAATAGGCACGTGGGTGATCCATATTTAAAGGAAACCAGGTGTTTAAAAGCATATTAAACGGTTCAAATAAAGGTAATGGTCCATACGTAAGTAGTACAATAGCAGAATGAATAACCAACGGTTGCATTGGACACTGTTCACCTGTTCCCCAAGATACAATTACATACTCATTATTGTACGTTTGATGGATACTGTATGACTCTTCTACATTTTCTTTCGATTTGATTGTATAGATGCAGAAGAGCTGCAGCAAATTTTTGAGCGTCACATTGCCGTCTCCAGGCAAAACATATGATGTTACGCTGTGCCTCTCTATAATAACAGACGATAAATCGGAAATTAAGTCATTAAGTTCAGCAAATGACTCGTAGCAATCTTGAGTAGTTAAGAAGTTGATATAGCTGGACATGATCGTTGGATTCGTTTCAATTTGCAAAGCCTGCCTTAAGAATTGCACCAGAACTGGTTTAATTATTGCAAAGTGAGCGAAATGTCGGATATACTGAGACAACCAATTCGAATAGTTTTCAACATTCAATTCTCCATCTTCAGTTGGAGACAAGATTAACCCCAAGCCTTTAGTAGCTTGCGTTCTACTCGCTCCATGATCCGATGTTAATCGTCTAAATAAATATTCGAGAACTTCACATGCGGACTGAGTGTCCGGGCCATTTACCACTGTTCGAAGATGCGCAAGTAGTTGTCCATGTTTAGTTAATTTTTCCGCAGGTGCAGTGGACAGCAAATATTCGCACAAACACTGCACTGGGAGATGAGAGAGAACTCCTTCAGCACTATGGACCAGTTCAGCCAACCAAGGCATATGAGCTCCTAAAAGTAACATTATTAGTTTGTAAAAAACATATTATTTAAGACGTTTAATCGAATTTTCATGACTTCACTGACTAACTTCATCGTCTTATAAATATGAAAAAAATGCTTACCTCCTTGTCGAGACATAATGTCTAAGAGAAAATCGGGATGTCTTGATTTGCATAGCAAATGTCCCAGTCTATGTGAGTTGTTCAAAGTTTGTAATAAATCTAATATTTGAGGCGGAGGCCTGCGAGAATCTCCAAGTGGATTCTGCTCCATAAGTTGGGGCAAAAGATGGCTGGTTTGTTCATTAATCTCCGCTTTGGTGCTAGCGGCTGCCAAATGAGACTCAAACTCTAATATGGTTTGTTTTTCGAGAGCAAGAACCTGAAGTTCTTTGGAATGAAAATCGTCTTCTGCTGTAATCATTGTTGGAGGAGGAAATGAAAAATAACTAAAAAAAACGACAATTGTTAATACCGTTACTGAAATTAATGTAAATGTTAATAAACCATAACTAACTTTGTAATACACATTTCCATGAACATTCTTAATGTAGGGTACTTATTCCATGCGAGATTTCCAATAGTCGATGGATTATGGGCTGCCAATGTTAATAAAATCAACCAGACCTTCCAATATAAGATAGAAATTGCTAATTTAGGGGCAACGTATCCATGCGGCAACGTGATGTTTTCGGGATAGTTATAACTGCATAAATTGAAGAAAAAATCCATAATCTCCAGCTTGTCAATTTGTAATGGAGGTCCGCAGTCGGGAGAAAGATTCGCTGCTCGTTTAATGAGCTGATCGACAACATCCGTGACTTCATTTGGCGTTATTGGATGTTCTTTGGATATTCCGATTAGAAGAATACGCAGCAAAGTCGCTTGCAGAAGAGGAACTTCGCTGGCCAGCCGTAAAAATAGGTTTCGTTCATTTTCTCCTGGCCATGAATCCACTTTGTAGTAATGTTCCGGCTGTTCCAAAAATAAAACCTAAAAAATATTTTACAAAATCTCAATAGTAAATATTTGCAATTATTTTAATATGCTATTAGGTACTTTCAACAGCGCATGATGAAAGTCAGGAACATTTGGTCGAAATACTCTCAATGCTGAATCTTGGAGCCATGTAACACATTCCCTTTGAATATTGGTAACCTGCATCTTAAAAGCCGTCAGAACGGAAACATCTCGTTTGCTTTGAGTTGCAGCATCTCTAACTTGCGGACTAACACACAACAACATGCACATTGTTGACAAATCCACCAAGGACAGGAATATTCGCTCCCGAAAATCATGGTCTCGAATAGAGGCATTCAATTCCTTTCGTTCTCGTAGCAATGCGTGAACCACATTTAGTAAATTGAAATCGTGCCTGAGAACTCTGTTGATTTCTTTTAGAAGTGCACGAAGTGAACGAAGATAATCCTCTTTATTCAATAATAGTTCCTACGGAGCAAATTTGAAAATGAGCTATTTTTACGTTAGGAATAGCGGATAAACAACACCAAAATTTGCAAAAAAACATGTATTGTATGTAGCGGAAAACTAAATCAGATCATTGGAATTTGCAAATTACTTACCAAACAAATATCAGCTAAGGCATCAGCTGCATGATCAGGTTTGACTTGAAACAGAGCGCCAACCACTATCAAATTGTTTGGATTTCTTGCGTTGCTCAACTCATTATAAATTGTATACTTTAAGAGCGGATACAAGTTCTCCTGGAACGACAATACCATTTCTCTTAGGCAGTTGTTGAAATAGTTCACCATCGGTTTGTTTTTAAGCCTCAATTTACTCAACTGCGCTATCACTTCTAAATCTCTCTGAGAACTCGCTGAACAGTTGTAGCAAAGGTACGCCAACAGCTCTTGTGCAGGCTTCATCAGTTTATGATTATGAAGCCAGGCTTCTATACGAGACACTGCTATTACTCTCATCTCGATTAAGCCACAAGCCGTACTAAGTAGTTTAACAAGATTTTTACTGGTGGCTTCAGGTTGTTGTCTTCTAGCTAGAAGATCTTGAATCGCTTCCAGTAGAATCTGCTCCACCTGCTCTTGAGCGTGAGCATATCTGGGTGATATTCGAGCTTGCCATGTTTCCACTATATTTTTCTGCTCACTGGCGGCTAAAACAAGATTTACATAAATATACAAGACTATCGATTTGAAACTGATGTACTAACGGTCATCGTCTTCCATATTATTTATTGTCAATGGACTCGAAGTGTCTCTAGAAGCAGAGCTCCAATTCTCTGACTTGAGAAGAGATGTTAGAGGCGGCACCTTGGTATGAAAAGCCGTAATTATATTGTCTACGAACGGTTTAGCAAAAGGACTGTCAATTATTATTCTGTCTCCTATTGCGTCTTCTACATATAACTGAAAGTTAAGTAAGTTTAAAAATGAGCAAACATTTATACAGGGTTCCCGTAAGGATATGATGAAAAGGGAACTGCAACAGTCTTTGGCTCAAAAGAAGACTCTGTCCTAACTAATTAAGGAAAACTCCTAAAAAAAACGATGCTTTTTGAAATATCGGGAAATTGATACGATGGATTTTAATGAAACCTGCTCTCAATTTGTTTTTATGTAAGACTCATATTTTGATGAAGCAATAAAGTTCATCCGCTTTGAACAAATTCTCTCAGAACTTTTATTTGGTGGCCGGAATCAACTGATTTTTTGTTGAGTTGACGCACAAATCATTTTTTTAACTTTTTATAAAATCTTGTAGCATTCAGGCTTTATGCATTTTTTTCTGTTTGCTGCAATATAACAATAAAATCCATTAACTACAAATGTCGTAGTAAGCGATAATCATCCATGTTACTCGCTGAGGGGACATTCTAACAAATACTAGACTAGTTTGATATTAAATGAATGAATAAATTGAGAAATGATTGACGTGGTCAAAGTATTATGCCACTCGTCCAGAAGTGGGACGAAAAACGCGAGCTTCGGGCTGAGCTCAGTAGATTCATCAAACTACATATAGTCCTGACGTAGGAACAAATTCACAGGAAGTTTTACCAAAATCAGCCTGAGTTCTTCCGATATTACAATAAACTTGATTTAAGTTTTTTAATGGTAAAAAATTAAACAGAAATCGTGTTTTAGAGCTAAAACTACCAATGCTACAAAATCTTACAAAGACCACCAAAATGTCAAGAAACGATTGGTTGAAAAAAATCAGTTAATTTTATCAACTAAATGAAAGTTCTAATAGTTTTGTACCAAGACACTTAAGAATTCACCAATTTCCCAAAGCGGATGAACTCGGCTGCTTCATCAACATATGAGTCGTACATAAGAAGATCCAGACATTTTCTCCAATAAAAGTTAGGTCAGATCGTGTTTTTTTGAGCCAAAGAATGTCACAGTACCTGTTTGCTCGTGTGCTAGCGAGATGCCCTGTATATTGTATATATTTTTAAATAACTTTGTCCTTTCAAGCTGATACCTTAACAAATATTTCCGGCCAGTTATCTTTTTCGCTGAAAGCATGGCAAATTAGATTGAGGAACATCTGATGCACATGCGAATTGCTTTTGTGCATTCCTTTCAGACCAGCGGCAATGTCTCTTCTTAAAACGCTAACCATACCATTGACTACGTTTTCATTTGTAAATATTTCTGGTTTCAGGCAACCTAATGAGAATATTGTCGACCATGTTAATTTACAGGGCTTCGCTTTGGTGGCCCGCAAGTTTTTAATAAATCCAATAATATAACCAACCTGTAAATAAATCAATGTATGGCTTACTGTGCCTTATGCTAGCATCAAATAGAACTGAAACTATTTTTAGTTTTATTTTAGAAAACTGTCGAATTCTCAGTAACTCGAGCTTCAATAAAAAATATAAAACATGTTAATTTTAACAGAAAATAGTAATTTTCATTCAACTTTTTGTAGACTGGATGTTTCACATGTAAAGATTCCATGATTAAATAAGTTAGGTTTTCGCGGCCAATACACTTGAAATTGTTGAGTTTCAAGTATTGGCCGCCAAAATCAAACTCTTTTCAACATAAATTTAGTCTAGAAAAAATTTACATAACAATTTTTATCAAAAGAGATAGACTTTCGAGGCCATTCCTTGAAACTAATGGGTTTTTCGGGTTTTTAGGCCGTCGTTCGGTAGAATTTCTTCTTGACGTT